GACGGGGAAAATAATGAATTTTTTTTTGAATAAAATTGAGGAAAAATATACAATGGGGAGACACCTGTGACAGCATCACAAAACATAGGCACCAAAGATGAATGCATCTTCAATCGGTGAAGGTTTTTCATATAAAAGTCGACGCTGGAAGACTCTTTAGTGCATCAAAGAAAGAAGAGTGAACACAGAGTTGGGAGAGTAAGTGAAAATAAAATGACCTCGGCTAATACTCACTAGGGAGAGGCAGTCAGGGGTGCACCGAGTGTCTTGGCTGTTGGAGTGGAACAGAGCAGGGAGCGGCGGCCGCGCAGTGGCTCCTGGCTAGACACTTCAATCAAAGGCAGCTGGAGCCCCAGGCAAACTTGGCTAATTAGCCACACACTGCTGCTGACCCCCAGCTTCATTAAGGGCCCAGGCTCTAGGATAAGGGGAGAGAGGAGAGAAGAGAATTAGGATGGAGTCATTATTGGCCAGGTTTAAAAAAAACACACGGATTTTTGCACGAACATACACAGTACAGGTTAAGCTCAAGGTCATGTATAAATACAGCCGACGGTGGGAGCGCCTACTCTCACACGTGTGTGCGTTCACCAATGAACATTCCCACCGTTCCCGGGGGATTTACACCCAGAGGAGAGGTAGTGGTAGAGCCGTAGAGGTCAGACGGCACAGCATCTCCCTGTCTCTCACAGCTGCACTGACAGCAACAGGTGTGGTGGTCAGAAGACATGCAATTAACAGGCTGAGAAGCCGCACTTCATGGCAGACACAATGAAAGATCAGAAGTACAATCAGAGTTGACAGGAAGTGTCCAATTTTAATCTAACCCTGAATGAAACACAGAACCTATGACATATTGGTTTTGGTCCATATACAAATATAAAAGCGAACAGTCCTGTAACAGCAGGACTGTTGTGTACATGCATCGTCAGTTCCTCTGCATTACAAGCGTGTACATCCACATGAAACCCATACGTGAATCAGCCTTTCGATGGAAACCCCGATGGTCATCCAGCGTGAGTGAGAAAGCTCATTTTCTCTCCCGCCCTTCTCAGATTACGGAGCCTTCGATTAGGCTTAAGTGATGTTTATGTGCCCTGCCGCCAGTGCAGCAATAACTGCCGTCAGGAAGCATGCATGCCTGAATATAAGGGAGACACTGGGCCTTTATTTAAAACAAGCCGAGGATGAAAGATCAATGGTGCAATTCAGGCCATGAATTGGAGGGAAAAGTTCACAAACAACACCAGGGATTACAGGAGGTAGATAAATGTGTGGATGGAGGGAGTGCAGATCTAGGGGCCATCTAGCTCATCTGGGTGCTAGTAGCTTATTGATTGGTGGAGACATGCAACTTGAGGCCATTCATCACACAGCCAGATAACTCTTATGATAGGAGCCCACTGCTGAGCAGCTGCAACTAGGCACATCCATTATCCTTCTACCTAAGCTCCCAAGCCTGGGAATAAAAAAAGAGCTGTAGTACTACAGGGGGAAGAGTGGAGAGTTGGAATGGCAACAGAAAAGGACAATCTTGTGTTTTGAGAGCCTGCGGCTGATGAGTGTACACAAAAGGAGGGGCTGGGGATGATGGCGTGTGCTTTATGAAATATAGTACTCTGACACCGGGAACAAAGATGAGTAAATGTGTGTATGTGTGCCAGTCAGAGAGAGAAAAAAACTGTGACAGGGCTGCTGTCTCTGCATAGCAATATTACCAAAGCTGCTTTAGAGATGATAGCACACAAATTAGGTATACGACAGGCATCAAATGACAGACACCTCTGAAAACCTGAGCAGCCCTGAGGCGCGTGTGTGTCTCTGTGTGTGAAGAAAAATCCAAAATTGAGCAGGTGGGTATCAACCATAATGAGGCATACAGGGAGGGGGGGGAGGTCGAAATGAGGGCAAAAACAGAAGGGAGGAGGCAAAAGAGCAAGGCAGGGAGACAGAGTGAGAGTGATGGAGACGGGCTCAGAGCCAGAGAGACAAAGCCCCAAAAGAGCAATTACAGAAGCTCTGGAAAAGGTGTGGGCCCAGCCCCCAGGCATGGTTGAAACAGCACAGAGGACTGCCAGACAATTCTTTCCTTGACACACACACACACACACACACACGCAGACACAAACACACCGTCACGCACGGGCTGAATGTAACGCCAACATCTGACAAGGAAACCAACAAGATGGACGGAGGAGGAAAAAGACAATAAGTTAAAGTCAGAATGGAGAGGAAACAACAATGTGACAGAACTTTTCTTTAAACGGTAAACATCTCAATCCAAGATTTATTCCTTCAGATATGTTCCCCCTTCAGTTCAACATTCTGTTCTGTTTAGAACCTGTTCCCCTAACAGCGAGGCTGGAAAAAGTCGACATCCTCTGGGCTGAGGTCAGTGTGGGTGAAACTTTAAGCTCGACTCTGCTCTGAATGTTGAGTGCACCCAGAACAACTCTGAGAAACCTGGACAGCCCTGCAACACGGTGCCTGTCACTTACACAAGTTCAAATGGTTTGTGATTGCTCCATTTCCGCCCCCCACCCCACCCCCCGCCCCAAACCCTGCACCTTACCAATCACTACCACCGAGAACGACAGCCTGGAGGAAAAACAGGGAATAACAATGGCAGAAAAAAAAGAGATGTGCAAACAGATAAGAGGGAGGAGAAATTAAATTAAGAGAAAAGTTCTTGCGCACCGGTATGCACCATTGATTTCCCATTCTCTTGGAAACATTTAATGAGCTTAAATAGGAGCCTCGTTTGACATCGCCACAGTGACTCAGAGGAGCCTCCCAGTGAGAGGAAATCGTTCAGCGGCTGTGACGACTACTAGATAGGGATGGAAGATGGAGGAATGATAGAGGAGGAACAGGATGAATTAGGAAAAGTCGGGGCTTTAATGTCAGAGCCAGAGACAGTTAGCTTGTGCTAGTGAAATGACCCATGGGTGGAATTAGAGGCCTATGAGGAAATACGATAAATGAACTTTATGAGTAGAGGGACAAAGAAAGGAAAGATAGAAGTGCACATGGTAAACAGCGCTGTTAGACATTATGGAAAGCTCCTAAATATATTTATTTTCTTGACTAATAAAATAAAAATAAAATCTAAAACTAGGGTTAAACCATGCAGATAAGAGATTAGGTTAATTGACCCTCAGTATGAATACACATGTGAAGGCCCCAGCTGCCTCTGTGATCAGGACTGAAGGGTAGAAATTTAAAAAATTAAAAATTCAGAAAAGAGATACTTTAATTGGTCCTACATGGCCTTCAGTCTTTCTACACAGAACTTGTTCTCAACAGATTTATTTTTCTAGAACCATAAAAAGAGCCAATCAAATTTACTGTCAAGAAAAATAAAAGTCAAAAATAAAAATCAACTAACAGAATAATGCAAATACATACAAACTATAAGTTCAGAAAATGGCATCCAGTGTTTCCACAATCACATTTTTGTGCATTATTTGAAGTACAAAACACTTTTTCCTTTTATATTAGATTGTTTTTAATTTTGCTACGTCATAAGTTGATAAACCAACAATCATCACAGCCTTTTACTAACCAAGAAAACAACAGGCGGTGTTGACAAGCAGCCATGCCCGAATTGACTGACAGTTGTTGCTCCGCAGCAATGTTTCACCTCATTTATTTTTCAATGACCCATTCATGAGGCGTTCAACAGATGTCTATTGCTTGACCACCATCTTGGTTTTTACCCTCCTCACCCTCTTTGCTTTCCATACCTGCAGGAGAACTATTGTCACATCAGAGAGCAAAGTCCAGAGGCGCTTCACTGCTCTCTGCTGTTGAGGGCCCCACTGGGAACCCTTGGCAGCCGCTTTATGAAGCTGTCTGATGGAGTAAATGGACTCAGCATCCCTCCACCTTTCACACCACGGGGAGGTTTCTCTTTCCTCATGGGTTAACCAGCGTGTTGGAAGGGTTCACATGTCATTGGGTTTATGCCCCAAAAAAGAGCCTATGAACATGTGTTGCTTTTTAGATGCAATCTTGTAAAAAACATCTTATCCTTGGACAACTGTAGAGTTTGGATTTTAATTGATCCCTCAACTAATCAGCATTTTACCATTTTTAATTGAAATGTGAGTTTCTGCACAAGAGTAGAAAAGGAAGCTGAAGCCAATCACGACTGTCAATAAATGAAAGGAAGGAACAAAATCCTGGACCAATCATCAGTCTCTCATCCAGAAACATGGAGACTACCACACAGACCTAACAGTATGACAAAAACCAATAACCCAGAAAAATCATTGTTATAGTGATAAAAAGATCAGCACCACATTACATTGATTTTACAGTTTTTGATTGTCTCTATATTTGGCTCTTTTTTTTCAGCATTTAAGTTGACCTTCATACATTAGGTTCAGTCTCAGATAGTTGTTCAGAAGTTAGACAAATACATAAATATCATAAAAGAAGAAAATAAATAAATCATTAATTTAATTTAACTTATGTCTATACTTAAAGTACTAATCCCTACAATGAGAAAAATCTGTTTTTTTTACTAGTAACCACTTGGAGAGACAAGACCTGAGGACTAGATGGTTTGTAAAGTGGCCGCTCTGTTCCGACAAAACTATGATACCATCTCTAGAAAAAGCCAGAGCAGTGTTTCAGGATGGATCATTGAGAGGTGCGCTGGATGATCCCATCAGTGACTCTGGGGCATCAAGATGACCTTTGTGAAATATGTGGATTATAAGTGATCATTTCCTGCCATAATCAAACAAAAAAAGAACTCTGACTTCCTGTGTTTTCTCCTCCCACATGAAAAGCCTCTTTCAATTATGGCTCAAGGACATCTAATTTTGTGTGAACACAAAAAAGAAAAAAAAAAAAGAGACAAAAGAGAGCTCTCAAACTCATTAAACAAGTTAATCTTTGGAAAGGGGTGAAAGCAAATCCAGAAACTCTGACAGGTCAGAAAGCATTATTTGATAACATATGACAACAACAAGAAAATACGAGTCCTGAGAAAAATAATGAAAATGATTTAATCGATGGGCCCATTTAAGAACAAAAACTAGCTTATACTTTAAACTGAACCTAACCAAACATTTAACAGTGTTATTATTTTTAGAGGTACATGATTTCATTGTAAACAAGTACATACCATGGGTGAATGTGGAACTGCTACTGTTAAAGTGAGCACCAATATTTTTGGCCGGTGTCTATGTTTGCTCTGCAGCCAGACACATACTGTGTTTGCTAGTTCCTGCTGCTCCACCAGTGTCTGTTTCTTGTATATCAGGTCAGAACAGAGTTATTTACTTCCTGACCCTATTCTTACCTCATTTGGCTGAGCTGCTGGAAGAGTGGCGGGTTTGTGCTACCTCTGAGTATCTATCCAGACAGAGACATTGCAAGCCGTGCTGCCGCCACTGTGGGTGTTTG